TGTTACTTAATTTTATGATTAATATGACTCTTTTTAGTTTTAAAATACTACTTATTTTTTAATGCTTTGGCATAGAATATGCTCCTTCCCTTCACAGACATAGAGGAAAGTACCTAAATATTTTAGGAAAGTCTTCCTGAGAAGATATAGATTACCCAGTGCTTCTTACTAAATCACATCATTACAATTACATATGCCTTGTTTTATTAATAAGCATTAGCTACTTGGTTGTAATCTTTAAAGCTTCATTTATTACACTGTAGAATGCCTAAAGCAGAACACAATTAAAGACCTTTTATTGCAGTTGATGTGAATAATAAAAAAAAATGAAAATCAAAGTTGTGAACAATTGACTAGGAGGCATGTGAAATATTTATAGTCTTTACTACTTTTGATTTTATTGTGAAGCTTTATCTTTTGCCAAAATTGTTTATTATACTCCATTCTCAGGTGATATAACTGACTTTAGCTCAAGTCCAACAAGAGAAACTGATCCTCTTGGGAAGCCCAGATTCAAAGGTATGTCTGGCTTCAAATCTTAATTTTGACAAGGCTGTTTGGTGGGTGTATCAGTCAGAAGTTGCTATGCCACCCAACATCTTAGTGGCATACCATATAAGGATTTACTTCTCATATGTGTTCAAGTCAGCTTTATGATGATATTAACAAATGGGGGTCAGTTGATCTAGGATGTTCTCGGTTGGGTGTTTCTGCTGGGCCTCTTGTGGGTTGGGGATGGGCTTCTCCTCATTTGTTCATTCTAGGATGAAGGACCAACAGTGACCCAACAGTGACCCAAAAGAAGCCATTCTCAGGACTATACAAAGTCAAGAGAGGGGGAAGCCAAATACACAATCACATTTTAAGCTCCTTCCTCCCTTCCACTCTCTCTAAAAAAAGGCAATGGAAAAAAATACCCTCTGGTGAGAATTTTTTTAAAAAATAGCCTGCTTAAGTTTCTATTAGAATTGAGAAAAATTGACAGCTGTACAATATTAACTCTTCCTGCCTATGAACATGGTATATTTCAATTACTTAAGTCTTCTTCAGTTTCTCTCACCAATGTTTTATAGTTTTCTTTTAAAAAAAAAATGTACTTTTATTTATCCCAGAGAGGGAAAGGGAGGGGGAGATAGAAACATCAATGATGAGAGATAATTATCAATCTGCTGCCTCCTATACATCCAACACGGGAGATTGAGCTCGCAACTTGGGCATGTGCCCTGACTAGGAATCAAACCCTGACTTTATGGCTCATAGGTCAACACTCAACCACTGAGCCATGCCAGCCAACCTGTTTTATAGTTGTCAGTGTATAGAAAATCATAAAAGTATTTGTTTTTATTTCTAATATATAAAAACACAATTGATATTTGTGCAGTGATCTTGTATCCTGCAGCCTTGCAAAAACTCACTTAGTCGAGTTTTTGTAAATACATTGGATTTTTACATACAGAATCATATTATCTGAGAGTAAAGTTTTACTTCTTCCTCTCCATCTTGGGTGGCTTTTCTCTTGCCTTATTGTACAGGCTGAATCCTCAGTAAAAATATTGAATAAAAACAGTGAGAATGGACATCTTTTTCTTGTTCCTGATCTACTGGGGAAAACATTTGGTCTCTCACCATTAGGTATCATGTTACCTGTAGATTTTTCATAGGTGCCCTTTATTGGGTTGAGAACATTCCCTTCTATTCCTACTTTGGTGTGAAATTGATGTGGGTCTCTTATATCTTTCATGTCTTAACTTTTGACCATATGGATTATCCTATACTAGAGGCCCAATGCACAAAATTCGTACAAGAGCAGGCCTTCCTTCCCCCAGCTCGGCACCCAGGACCTGGGCTTCCCTCTGGCACCCAGGACCCGGCTTCCCTCTGGCACCCAGGACCTGGGCTTCCCTCTCAGCCCCGGCTTCGTCTGGAAGGACGTCCAGTCTAATTAGACTGACCAGCAGAACTATCAGTTGCTATGACATGCACTGACCACCAGGGGGCAGACGCTCAATGCAGGAGCTGCCCTCAGGCCCCAGGCCAGCCAAGGCGGGTCTCACCAATTGCCCCACCAGTCACACTGCAGAGGGAGACAGCCAGCAGTGGAGGGCAGGACCGGCAAGTTGGCGGCACCAGGATGACCAAGGCAGGTGCCAGTGGGGACCCACCAATTGCCCCGCCAGTGCTCCCACAGATTGGCCCTGATCGCCGGCCTGGCTAGGGACCTTACCCGTTCATGAATTTTGTGCATGGGGCCTCTACTAGTAGTAATGACTGCTTTATTGTTTTTGTCTAATGATTCTAATACCTATGCAAGTTCTAGGTTGGTTTTAAATGATTAATTTTTCTCCTCATTATAGGAAATATTTTCCTGTTAATTTCATCTTGTTGGGTTCTGAATGTTTTTATATTTAAAATATTTTTTAATTTTGTTCTAGGTGCAGGCCAATTATTTGAAACCACTTGACCTTTTTGAATCTAGCTTTTCATATTTATTAGGTGGAATCAGGATTGTGTTTAGCGTAGGGCTCATTATTGCCCACGACTGAGGCAAGACCTTTTGAGTATTCTTTCCCATGCCACATAAATTATGAGGTTTAAACCATGCTCAGGGACAAATTACTTTTGGATATTAGCACACACTAAACTATCTAGAAAAGTAAATTAACAAACATCCATATCATATATCCTAGAGACAGGATTTTCACACTTCTGAACCATCCACATCACTGCTCCCATCTAGCTGCTCTTAATGTGAGACCAAATGTCCTCAAGCAATTATATTTATTAGTTCACCTTCCCCCAACTTTACTCAAAATATGCTAAATGACAGAGTCCTCTCTCTCTAGGGCCTCATGTGCGATACATTCAGAAGCCTGACAACAGGCCCTGCTCCATCACCGACTCCATCAAACGGTTCCCCAAAGAGGAGCCCCCAGAGGGGAACGCCACCAGCCCACCGCAGAACCCACCCTCCAACCTCACTGTGGTCACCGTGGAAGGATGCCCCTCATTTGTCATCTTGGACTGGGAAAAGCCACCCAATGACACTGTCACTGGTAAGAGCCTGGCACAGGACTGTTATGAACGTGCTGCAATGGGACTGAGGAATCGAGTCAAACTATAGTCTGTGGGTCCTCGCTCAGGAGCAGCGAGTCCTAGCAGAGTTCTGCTGTCCCTGTGGCACATTCCTGATGAAAGTGTCATGTGATGGGGAAAGATCATCTTTGTCCCGGTTATGGGCTCCCTGTTCATCATCCTTAGCCGATCTCTCTAAGTTTCATCCTTTCATCTCCTCTTAGAATGTTTTCATAATGGGGAGATATATCTAGTTTTTTCATTACCCAGAAAATTACAGATAATATATGAGAAGTTGCCACTGCTGATAATATTTAAATCAGTTTTCCTTTCACCATCCCAGTTTCTTGATCAACCTAGAACTTTCAAGCAGGCTAAAATATTATTTCAATCATTTCAGGATACATGTTTTAAAAATTCTATTCCTGGTCAATTTTCTGCTTATTTCCTGAAATTTTTATTCTGCTATCCACCCACCCATTTCCTTTTAAAATTACTGTGAAAATTAAAAATCCTGAGTCATTCTTTGCACTTGTTAGATGGGAATTTAATTCTCCATAATGAACAGAATAATCCAACTAGAGAGGAAGGGGAAAGATCAACGACCTAAATCAGTTTGAGAATACAGCCTGAGTATGCAAGGTTCCTGCTGCCCACGTCTCTGTTTGGGCGCCTGGAGCAGGTGGACAGGGCTCCCGCTAAGAAGCTGTCAGCAGGAGTGGAGATCCCTACACAGAGGGGGTGGGGAGTGCAAATTTCAGGCTCTGCCGAAAAAGTTTTCTACGAATAAAGAAGAAAACAGCAGGTATATCTCCTCAGACAAACTGTCTGGGAAAATCCAGTAAGCAGCCTGTCTTTACTTAGCTGGCTTTTTTAAAAACCATATTTTGTAAATTTTCTTTCTCATGTAAAGCTTACCTTTGCATTGAGAGCAAACCAGTCACTGCCGGTGGCTCCTGGGAACTTGCCTAGTCCTGCTTCATTACTTGGGACTGTGCCCATAGGTGCTAAGTCAGTATCTAAATCAGCATCAAAAAATCAGTCAATCTCTAAGTATTGATTATCTATATGTATTAAAAAGTTCAAAACTTTCAATCCATATACTGTGCTAATAAGAAGTTCCTGTGTTAGTCTGAGGTTTAATTCTCACAAAACCAAATGATCTATAAAATTTCATTTGCCTTAAAGACGTGGGACATCAAGTTGGAATTGGTTAGTCTACTAGGTCTAATAATCTAATAGGGCAATTTTCAACCAATATGCCATGACAATTTTTAAAACATACCACACCTGACTATTTAGTCAGGAGCACTGACCTCTTTTCCCTTAGACTGTCAAATTAAAAAATGACAACAGCTAACACAACAGCCATCCAGTGTGAACCATAAATACATAGGTCATATAAGAGTTTCATCTTATTGGTCACATTGCACAATAAGAGTAGGTAATTACCATTTTTTTAATCAATCAAAATTGTACCTATTTTTGTCAAATTGGAAAAAAATATATTTTTAGTGTGCTGCAGAATTTTAGTAGTTTATGTGTGTCATGTGATGAAAAATGTCAAAAATCACTGACCTAATACATGTAATACATATTCACTTGTGTATGTCAATTATATCTGATTTTTTTAAGAGAATGATTTTTCTTTCTGGTTTATTATGTAACATTTTTTAAAAATCACAGAAGCTTGTAATCTCAAAGTATTCTAACCAATTACTTTTGGAACACTGTTACCAAATGTTAATGGACTGATTGAGATCTTTCATAAGATAACAGACTTAAATAACAGTTTTCATGGGTAAGGACCACATCTCATTAGCTATATTTTCTACATAAAAATAATTCTATATTTAACTATTACTCATCTGGCCTGTATTTAAATGTTGGACAGATGATATACCCTAATGGTCTGTTCTATTTTTTTTTTTCATTTCTGTTTATTTTTAAATTGTTAATTTAAATGTAATCTTGCTTTCAAATAAACCAGCAGCCCAGATCTTATAGAAATTAATTCTCATATCACTGAAAATGATATGAAAGGAAAATATTGAGAAAAAAAACAGAAAGTGAAACATATTCTTTATTACATGCGTTGGCTTGGTCTATCTCTCTCCATAAATCTTTCTTCTAATTGACAGACATGTACATATTCACCTCTAGTAAACACATTAAAATTCAGTTGCTTCTACATGTCCCTTCTACACTAATGTAGAAATAGGTGACCTAAGAAATTGGCCACACACTGCTGGGGTCCTTGGCTACTTAAAGATAAGTTGGTTATAAGGCTGTTGCTTTATGATATGCCAAGAGTGTGCTGACATCTATTCAAATCCCAGACCAGCTGTGTTCTAAATATGGAACTTGGGTATATAGTTAGCCTCTCTGAACTTTAGTTTCCTTATTTTTAATGATACTCATCATTATCAGTTTATCCTGAGGATAAAATTAAACAGAATGAATGCCTAGCATAAGTCAGCAGCTGTTAAATTAATGTTTGTCAGTGGTCGAAGTCGTAGAACAGGGAGAAATAGTATCACCATTACTATCTTCATGCTCTGTTGACTAGAGTGGTGTTCCCAAACTTTACAATAAATAACTTTTTCTATTAAGTGAAATTTTTCATAATAGGGCAATAAAACCATTTGAAGGGTGGGGGAGACCAATTATTCAGTGTTAGTTCTTTACAGATTTCCTTATGTCTTTACTGATAATGAAATTATAAACAAAATCCCATATTTGAAACAAAGGAATATGGGCATAAATTTAAGAGACTGTCTTTACCTTTGGAAATATACTCAGAGTGTATCTACAAATATTTATTCCAAAATCAACATTCCATTTTTATAATGTTGGTGGATTTATTAAAAGCTATTATCACCTGAAACATTAAAAATAAAAAATATGTATACGCCGAACTGGTTTGGCTCAGTGGATAGATCGTCAGCCTGTGGACTGAGGGGCCCTGGGTTCAATTCTGGTCAAGGGCATGTACCTTGGTTGCGGGCACATCCCCAGTGGGGAGCATGCAGGAGGCAGCTGATAGATCTCTCTCATGAATGTTTCTAACTCTCTGTCTCTCTCCCTTATTCTCTGTAAAAGATCAATAAAATATATTTTTTAAAAAATAAAATAAAATAAAAGATATATTTACAAAGCCCAAAAATATACATTCACAACGCTAGAATTCTGAGAGTTCTAAACACCTATTTAATTATGAAGGTAAGTCCTAGATTCATTTTGAAAACTACAGTCTTTTAGGACTAAAATAGTATTAAATCACTAGAGGCCCAGTGCACGAATTCGTGCACATTGAAAGGAAAATAATTAGAAGAAATATTTTAATATTGCAATTCGTCCTTTCTCTGTAATAAAAGTGTCAGAGATGAAAGCTCTCTCATGAATGTTTCTAACTCTCTGTCTCTCTCCCTTATTCTCTGTAAAAGATCAATAAAATATATTTTTTAAATATATGCATAATATAAGCTTTATTTTTTTCCACTAGAAATCCAGGCAGTAGTGCCTTACAGGAGGATGTGTGAATGGAGATACGAACCTTGTGCCACTCCCTGTTTTAGAACATGTAGTGATCCTGAAGCACTGGCATGTAAATTTCTTCCACCGTAAGTCACGTTTAAACATTCAATAAACTTGTTTTATGTTATACAAGTGATAGTAATTAAGGGTTGGCTATGTGCCAGGAATTCTAGCTGCTACCGATACAGCATAATATAATATTCATTCCCCAGCCTTCTTTGCCCTGTGGGAAAAGAATAGGATATGTCATTGCATCTAATGTAGGAAACAATACTGATTTGTTTCATTTTAGTGGCATTTGTATTATTGGGATCTGGTTACAATGAATGAGCAAGTCCATTTCAAAAGGAGGTTCTCCATCTTTGTTTCTGAATATGGTGGCGACTTCAGATACACAGGGATAATTATATCTACTCAGATAACTACTACGACCATATTTAATTGCCACTGTTACTTCTGTGCGATGCTGCTTTCTTTCAAATTCAGAATGTCAACAAAAACAACCAAATTCACAATCAACAATGGCAGATCGAAACACATGCATGCGACTGGCACAGTGAGAGCTTTATATGTATCGAGCATGCGTGAGTCAACTTAGCCTTTTATAGATAGAGAATAAACTTGCTTAATTAGACCTGCTTTCTGATTTAGCTAAACTTTTTCCAGCCCAGTGAAGCACCCCAACTTCTCTTTCAGGTAATTGTCAGCAACACAGCAGTCAATATCAACACGAAGCACATTATTATTATGCTTCATGCAGGGAGAACAAAGGGTAAACTGTTTAACTGCAGCAGTGTTTGACTATATTCTGAACAGTGAGAAAACCTGAGGTCTTTGCAAGGTCCACCATTTCTTACTTCTTTTCAGTCGGGTCAAGTTTCTAAACTTTCTAAATCTCTGTTTTCCAGCTAATGGAAAGAAAATAGGATTCAACCGAGTCTCCTATCTACCTGCCCCAGGACTTCTGTGAGGATCAAATGAGATGAGGCACGGGAGAGAGGAAAGGAAAATCAAGCAGGGAGGGTCAAGGCCCAGATGCCTACAATATGTGTTTAATGTGCATGTCTTGCCTCACCTGCCACTCAGGGCTGTTTGCATCATTTTCTTCACCTGCTAAATTGGAGCAGTACCTTCCTTACAGGGATAATGCTGAAGATGAACTAGGGCAGTGGTTCTCAACCTTGGCTGCACATTAGAATCACCTGGGAATCTTTTTAAAATCCTGATTTCTGGGCCTCACCCTCCGGAAATTCTGTTTCTTGGTTACTTAATGTTGTGGCCTCACCCCATAACAAAGAAACAGAATTTCCGAAGGATGAGGCCCAGAAATCAGGATTTTAAAATGATTCCCAGGTGATTCTAATGTGCAGCCAAGCTTGAGAACCACGGATATAGATAGATCCTTTAAATTTGAAGTCAAAAGAAGATTAGAGAAGATATAAAATAAGAGTTTCAGGTTTGAAGGGCTGGGGTAATATTAAAAAGAGTAACATATAGTCGATGAATGTTCCAAGCCAAAGATGTTTTTTTTGAAGGCAGTAGCTTTTATGCATAACCAATTGGAATGTTGCATAAATTGTTCTTTTGGTAACTAAGTTATACTTCAATTTTTTCAAATGTAATCTTTTAAATTTTTGTGACCCTATTTTCAAAACACAACTAATACGGAATAATAAAAGCAAGCAACAATAATAGGTACCACTTGTTGAGCAAATAAGCACTGGCTATGTATGTTCCTAATTTAATCCCACAAGCAACACTCTGAAGAGACATTATTGACATTTTACAGATGGGAAAACTGGGACTAAGATCAAGGCAAGTGGCTTGGTCTATCTCTCTCCATCAAGCCACACAGTTTCCATTTTTAAAAAATAAAGTTTACTCCCATTTAATTACTAGTACATGTTTCTAGTAAATATCCCTCCACAGCTGAGGAAAGATATAAAAAGGACATTTTGAATTCAGGGTCCTTTTCTCCCTCTCTCTCCACCCTCTGTTAGAATAGAAAACCAATGGAACTGGGGACAAAAAGAGTTGGGAAACAACAGAACCAAACCCAAAATGTTTGGGAACAAAAGAGCCTGAGGAAGGAATACTAAACCCCAACCATCGGTCCTTTAATAGCTGCACTGACGTGTCCAGACACAGTGGTGTTACCTTCCAGTTCATTATTGAGCTTTTGGAAGACAGCCAAAAGAAATTATTCATAAAGAGTCATCTTCTTTTTTAGAATTTTGAAATATAGCATGAAAATCCTTCCCAAATGAAAGTTGGTGATTATAAGTCTCCTGAGTTGCTTCATGGTTCCCTACCTTCTGTCTCAGTGCCAATACAGGAATCCTCAGGAACTCGCCAGCTCCTTCACAGCCTCCCGCTTTCCCCGACACCCACCACTTGTGTATTTCTTCATACTGATGGAGCTGATTTTGAGTGGGGTTTTGTTTTTTGTTGGATATTTTTAAATCCTCTGTATGATCTTGTCACGTGTGTTATAAAGCCAACCAAGAGCAGGGAAAGCCATTTAACAAATTTGTAAATTATGTTTCAGATTCTGAAACTCTTTCTCTTTTCATTAGCCCTGCAAGTTCATAGAAATATGCCTTTAAGTGAAATTTATGCAGATCTCTGTTCAGACTTTAAAGAATAGCTTCTCTCTACAAATACAAAGTTAATTGTCAAAGGGGCATATATAAGCAGTATGTACAAAACTTAATAACTTATGTAAGATGTAGGTGCAAAAATCCCATCTATATATATAAAAGCCTAAGCAACCGTTATGACCAAACGACCAGAACGACTGGAATGACCGGTCACTATAACATGCACTGGCCACCAGGGGGCAGATGTTCAATGCAGGAGCTGCCCTCTGGTGGTCATTGCACTCCCAAAGCTGGAGCACCACTCAGCTGACCAACCCATCCTAGTGGCCCACGAGCCCTGAGGCAACCACTCGCTCCCTCAGTAGTCCTGCAGGTCCAATCTCCAGAGAACAGGCCAGGCACCAATGGACCAGAGCCTCCAGCACGATCCCAACAGTGCCACCAGCCTCCTGGAAGTCAACCTTGGGCATCGTGGCTGCTTCCCCTTCCTAGACTCTCCACAAGGAAGCAAGGATATAAAAGCCACCACCAGGTGGCTCCCAACAGCCAGTGTAAACATCAGCGGGACCTGGGCTGGCAAAGGCATCCCACCACCCACCCAGAGAGCCGATCGCATCCCAGCCTTCCCCACGCCCCTCAGGACCCCACCCATGCACCAATTCGTGCACCGGGCCTCTAGTAATTCTATAAATCAGAATAATGAACGATAGAAAAGTATAGTTCATTGTGTGGTTAGCTGTCATTTGCTGCTATGGTTTGAAACCCAGATGAGTTTTTTGCAGCAGCACCATGTAGTCAGTGGCCTTTTCCCCATAAAGTAGGAAACAGGGCTCCTACACACACACCACTCAGCAGTGCTCTCCAATGGCAGGCTGACTTGTCTCACAAAATCATAGGTACCAGTTTCCAAAGCTATCATAGGAGTGTCATTGACCTTCACAGTTGCCAGGCCTTCCCTGATCTGCTAAAGGGAAAGCAGAAATGGTCTATGAGCAACTCCCCAATTGTTTAGGGACCTTTGTCATCTGCTGACCATCCCAATCTGGAAATCGCAAATGTATAAGATGTATGTGTAATATATACATAATGTATAATATCAACATGTAATGTATAAGATCAGAGCTGCAATCTGAGTTGCCTATTTTTATGAGAGTGACTTTATTATGCTATTAGCACGTAGAACATTTAATTCAGTCAGAAAACGAAGATGAGTATCTGTTGGCTTTTTCGCTTTTCAGAATATGAAGTTATATCCAGAGAAAATGGGTCATTCAGTGGGAAGAACAAGTCCATTCAAATTACAAATCAAACCTTCTCCACCGTAGAAAATCTAAAGCCAAACACGAGGTAAGCCACCAGTGCTATTACAGGTGAATTCTGAGAGTGCAAAGTCATAATGAAGGAATGGAGTGACATCATCCTGCTGTGTCCTCAGGGAGGGTCTAATTTGCATTTCATTCTTTGACTTTCACAGCACTTGAAACCTCTAAAGTCATATTTTGCAAATATGCAAGTTACTGGTGGGGATACAAGAGCTAACAAGATGGTCTTGTAAGTTAACATATAGCTGGGAACACTGAAAAATAGAAGTTCATTAGTACCAGGTGTTGATATTAAATACCAAGATTAGAGAAGAAAGTCTGTGGACCAGTGACACCCGGAGTGTGCATGAGGTAAACTACATTTGAAGTACAGAATAACTTAGCTGGAATGATGGAAAGGGGAGGGCAAGGAAATAAAAGCCATGAGGTAGATCCAAGGGTCAGTGTGTAATAGTTAATGCTTAAGGTAACTAGAGATGAGTCCCAGATATAGCAAACATTTGCTTTCGGGTCTTTTTATAATAGACAAATGAGAACAGATTTTTTAAAAAAAGATATAAATAATATTAGCATCATTATATATATTAAACAACTTTTCTTGTTATCCCTCATTGCACATTGACACCAGGTTGTTTATATTGCTACTGGAGGCCCGGTGCATGAAAATTCATGCACTGGAGGGGGGTCCCTCAGCCTGGCCTGCCCCCTCTCTCAGTCCAGAAGCCCTCAGGGGTGGGAGGTGACCTAGCGATCAGGGGAAGGCGACGCCCTATCACACCTCTGCTGCTGCCACTGCCGGCAGCGCAAGCCTCGGCTGGCCCTGATTACCTGAGCCTCGGGCGGCCCTGGGCGGCTGGGCAGCACAATCCAAGGCTCACCTGTGCTTTGTACCGGCCCTGGACAGCTGGGGGGCTGAGGGGACTGGGGGACTCTGGAGGCAGGCACGTGGTGCTGCCCCGGTGGGGCTGAGGGGACGGGGTGCCACCATCTTGTGGCTGGAGGCACCTCCATCTTTGAGGGCATGGCAGCCAATTAGCATATTCCCTCCTTATTGGCTGTGGGCGCTGGTATCTTTGAGGGTGGGGCAGCCAATTAGCATATTCCCTCTTTATTAGATAGGATGTAGTTTTGTGATTCTTTTATAAATCTAAATTACACAATATTTTGTCAGTTCACTTTATTATTACAAGAAATATAAGGGCCTTAAGACATTTCTAGAAATGCAGTAGGGTTTTTTTGTTTGTTTAGTTGTTTGTTTTTTAATATATTTTTATTGATTTCAGAGAGAGGAAGGGAGAGGGAGAGAGAGACAGAAACATCAAGGATCAGAGAGAATCATGGATCAGCTGCCTCCTGCACACTGGGGATTGAACCCAAAACCCAGGAATGTGCCCTGACTGGGAATCGAACTGTGACCTCCTAGTTCGCAGGTCGACGCTCAACCACTGAGCCACGCCAGCTGGGCTACAGCAAGCTTTTTATGTTTTGTTTTACATGGCTGAATCGCCAAATTTAGGCATGTCAAACAAATCAAAAATCAAGGAGATTCTTAAATGGATACAGCCAAGCATTTTCTTAACAAAGTCAATATGCTAAATGGTCCTGGGCTGAATTTTACTCTCTGTGGGAAATCAATCTCTCCTCAGACTCCAAAACACTGTTTGGTAAATTGTCTGTGCTTCCTGTTTAAAAAGAAAAACAACTGGCTTCTTGAGTTATAGTCCACCAAGGAACATAGAAGAATTTTCAGAGGGACACGATCGGGAACTTTTTCAGAGAGAATATTGCATAGCTCAGTGAAGTTCCTCAGTGTTGAAAAAGATCAGCATAGGTGAGGGCTGAAACTCCAGCATCGGAGACTTTGTTCATAAATTCCACCTCCTGTATCTTTCACTGTCATCAATGGATTGGATAGAATTGGATACTGACTGTGACAACGCAAAAGAGCCCGTTTTGGCTCTGTCAGCCGGAAGCATCTATTTCCTTATAGATGGCTGCTGTATATTAAACTCTAGTCCAATTCTGCAAAAATAACACTTTTCCACAAGCATCTTTTTTTCAAACTTTCTATTTTGAGCTATACTATGGAAAATTTTGCAACTGCTGATGTTCTTAAAGGATTTAAGTTAGCCAAAATAAGCGTATATTTTAGTAATGATGATCTTGGTTCTGTTTTCTTGACAAGATTAACAGAGACAGGGCCTTTTTTACTATAATACATTTTAAAGAAAAAGTAAAAAAGAAAACTCATTTAAATTGGACTTTATAATAGTGGACTTGGGTTTACAGGACTTGGAAGGAATATCTCTTCAGGTTCCTGCTTTTTATACCATTTAATAAAAACTGGGCTGTGTAGTGTACAGGAAACACATTGAAAAGCACCCAATTTCTAAATGTTCATTGTGTTCCTTTTCTGAATAAGCTGTCCTCAGAACTCGCAGTGCACCTATTAGCTATAATCAGAAGTAGGACAGGTATTCCAGTGACATTTTCTTTTTTTTAATTCTTTTTAATCCTAATCTGAAGATATTTTTTCCATTGCCTTTTTTTTTTTAAGAGAGAGTGGAAGGAAGGAAGGGAGGGAGAGAGAGAGAAACATCGATGTGAGAGAGACACATCCATTGATTGCCTCTCACACAAGCTCCGACTGGGGCAGGAGATCAAGCCTGCAACCCAGGTATGTGCCCTTGAATGGGAATTGAAGCCAAAACCCTTTGGTACATGGGCTGACGCTCAAACCACTGAGCACACCAGCCAGGGCTCTAGTGACATGTTCCATGTGATTTGTTTGTTAAGGGTTTGTGTTTTCATTTATTAAGTGCCAACCATATCTCAGCAGTGTGCTTAGTGTTGTGACTACAAATCAATAAACATGATGCCTGCTCTTGAGAAGCTAGAGGTTGGGGTGGGGAGAGGGTAGGCAATTAATAACAGCTTATACTACACAGAGTGGTGAGAGCTCTGGTAGAAGTATGTCCAAGGCGCTATGGGAACCTGGAGTGGGTGGCTCTTCACAAGGTCTGGGGAACTTAGGAAAAACTTCCTGAAGAAGGTGGCACCTGGGCTGATCCTTAAGGATAAGTAGGAAGGAGCTATCAAGATGACTGTCTCAGGGGAAAGGAATGTCAAAGAGAATAGCACTGTCAATGCAGAAGCAAGAGTGGCCTGGCTGTGGGCAGTGAGCAATATGCTGCTTTTACCCGTGTGAGAGGTGGAAAGTGGACCGAAAAGAGAGGCAGCACAGAGAAGTGGCAGCAAAGAGAGGTGGCAGCACAGAGAGATGGCAGCACCGAGAGGTGGAAGCTACGTTGTGGAGAGCCTTCCATGCCAGATCAGGAAAATGGGTCAAGGGATGAGGAGAATTTGAAGGAGGGTAACTGGAGAGGGACTTGTTCTTTCATTTCTGTGTTCATTTTGACTTTCATTTAGTTGAAAAAATCGTTTTTATACTTGAGCTGCTTATAATGAGTGACTGTTGGTGAAATAAATCCACCAAGAAAGAACATTTTGTTAATGTCATGTAAGAACGCCATTTTGGCATCTTATTCAAGAAAAGTACCTTTGGGCTGAGTTGCATTTTACCCTGGAATCACAGGGCCAATCTGGAAATCACGTCTAGCTTCTGGTCTAACTGTTGTAGGACGCGTGCGCATTGTTTCTGTTGTTTGCCTCAAACTGAAATACAACCATGTCCCCTTTATCCCGCCCTCATGGTGTGTGTCTTCCTTATGTCTCTTGTCCTTCATCAATGGGCCTTCTAAGGAAGACCCCTTACAGCCTATTCTCATCTATAGACAAAGCCCAAAGGGAGGCCCTTTCTGCGTGTGTCTTTGGGGGAGAGCAATATTAGATTTAGTTTGGAACCCTGCTGACTTTTACTACAAGGCATAAATTTGAAGCCATTCAAGTGTGTCTGTATGTGGCTTACTCAATATTATTTTTAGAGTTTGGTATGATTGAATGAAATCCATTAGGATATAAAGACTGTTGATGTTCATATATATGATTTCACTAGGATTTATGTTGACAGCCCTTAATGGGTCAGGATTTAAAAGCTGTATATCAGTAATTTGAAGTAAAAAAAACATCTTCCCATTGGGGGCAGAGGTGCTCTAATGAAAATTGTTTTGCCTACAATAAATGAAACTATGTGGTTTTCAAAAGGTCCCAGTACCCAAAGAGCCTGTGAATGCATACCATGCTCTCTTAACAGAGACATGCAAGAGATTAATTTGTCTAATTTAACGAGCAAAGGTTTTGAGCTGAAATATTAAAAACTATTTGTTGAAATCCCTATTAGTCAAAGTAACTTAATAAGTTAAGGAAGGAAGAAAAGCTGAAGTCTAATTATTTCATTGAATTTAAGGTTTCAGAAGCCTAAAAGTATCTAGAGCTGCGGTCCTCAAACTACAGCCCGCGGGCCACATGCAAATACAAATATTGTATTTGTTCTCATTTTGTTTTTTTATTTCAAAATAAGATATGTGCAGTGTGCATAGGAATTTGTTCATAGTTTTTTTTTAAACTATAGTCCGGCCCTCCAACGGTCTGAGGGACAGTGAACTGGCCCCCTGTTTAAAAAGTTTGAGGACCCCTGATCTAGAGAAACAAAACTAACACCCATGAAACAAGCATCATAAGACAGCATAAAAGAACACGCCAGTGTAGGACTTACACCCAGTTCTGCAATTTATCAGGAGAGAAAGCCTCATAGAGCACTTGAAACTATAACTTGGCAGTAGTGGATAGGAAGGAATGGGACAGGCTGGCAAGAAAAGAAAGAGAAACAATAGCATTCAAGTCAAATCCACGTGCATAACTTAGGTGAAATACAAGTAGTCCTCAAAGTTACTATGGACAGCAAGGCTGCAGCCAGAATAATAAAATTACGAGTTCCCAAATTTAGGTTCATTGGCTTTTTGATGCAAGCTTTTTTCAGACCGTATCACATTGTAGTTTCATTCCATTGTATCAACTGCCCAACCATGGCCCAAGATTAATGCTAATAAAAGGTATTGTAAAATA